CATCACGTCTCTTCATTTTCTGGCAACCTTGGAGCTTCTCCGGTGTCGATCCAGCTTCTCCAAGTGTCGGCCATCCTTCCTACGATCAAATCCACCTTCCTCCAAGCTCCATTGCGGCCATTCAATCGCCATCTCGCCAAATCACAGCCATGACTATTTAGCTTTCTCACCATTTTTCATGCATTTTTCGACGACCTCTCACCTTCCAACCAGCAGATCCATTATCCCCATCACCTAATCTATCTTCCTGTACACTTGGATCTCCTCTTTGCCTATCGTCGCCGTAAGCCACCACCGGATTCCGACGAGTTACGTTTGTTCGTCTTCCAGGAGTTCCCTTGGACATTTTCATCCTTTCTTCGCATCATCTCGTTCTCGGTTACGTCCTCTTCTTTATGACCAGCTCTGTTCCAGACGTTCTAGCCTCCGTCGACCGCACATGAGTGGCTGAGCTCCCGGTTGCCTATTACGGTATAGGCGAGATCAAGATTGACACTCACAGATCTTCTCGGTAGTTCTCGACTAATTGGATGAGCCTGAATGTTGGACATTTGGTTAAGTTTCTTATATTCAGATTATATCTGTTTTTGTTTTAGTTTGTTTGCGATGCTTTAATAATATTCTGATGCTTGACGTGCTGAGTTGATAATGTCCATTGAGAACATTGATATACAACTTGTTGCACAATTGAATGTCGGTTTGAGATTATTGGATGTTGATTATGACTTTAAATTGCGTCGGTACTGATTGCAATCAAGTTGTATTAGCGTTTAATATAATTTCTACTAGGAATGCATTTGTTGTGTAATTGGTTGATTGGATGATACAAGTTGATAGGTTGTACTTGTTAGCGTTGTACCAACTAGTGGTGTTTAAGGGTTTATCATTTTTCGGTTAGTTGATCATAGTCTTTAACCAATCGATCTGTAACTAAGACGATAGAGAGATAGGATAGATTATACCTAGATTGTCAGGAGATGTTTTTATTGATTTGCAATTAATTAGTTTCCTTAGTTTTAATTAATCAATTCGTCAATTTTTCTTTCGTTAACTCAAATATACATTAGGTCTGTAGTCTTGCTCCATGTGGATTCGACCCTACTTACTGCTAACTACGGTATTTAGGATTAATTTTGTGGCCGTGACGACCGGTTCGACATCATAGAAATCTAAAAGGCAGGCCACTGTTTCTAAATTTTCTTTAGAGGTAGAGTATAGGGTCATGGCTTCTACAGTCTGTGAGATAATTTAGTTGATTTAGCTTTTTCAGGAACCTGGTTTTACTGATTTACTTTCTGTGCCTTGTCACTGTGATAATTAGGCTACCCATCATATTGCATCCAATCCTATTTTTCATGAAAGGACTAAACACATTGACATTGATTGTCATGTTGTGAGAGAACAACTCAAGCTGGGGATTATCAAGACTGCCTATATTCCATCGTCAGAACAGCCTACTGACTTACTAACTTAAGTAGTTGTTAGTGTTAGGGCCAAAAATCGTCCTCGGCCCAAATAGGGAAACAGGATCACTAGTGAAGAATGACCAGGCCCAGTCTTGCAGAGGCCCAATTCGGATTAGCCCTATTTGATACGAGGTATAGCCGACCCAAACTACATGGGCGCGAGCCTCTTAAGCCCAGTCCACTTCCTGGGCCCATGGGCGAGTCCAGAGCCCATAGCCCCTTCAATATTTTCCTATTCTTGATCAATCCCCTATTCAAGGTCGCCTTCCCCTTTCCTGATGACTTTCCCACTTGGGAGTTATCTCCTAATCAGAATTAACTTCCTATCCGGACACTGATAAGACAGCTGATTACGGCCCTGATTCTTCTAGGGTTGGCATCAGAGTCATACTAGGACTCCTGCTCCCACCAGGATTGGGAGACCAGACGACCACTATATAAGCAGAGGCCAGCCCTCTCACAAAGGACATCGACATTACACCTTCACACCCTAAACTCTTTACTTGAGAATTTCGCTTCATCACCGTAGTCACAGTCCCCGACTAGACTTCCGGTAATCTCTCATTCCCTAGCCCTCACTATATTAGCCTTTCAGCCTTGCTGACTTGAGCTTCGGAGTGCCTACGGCAAACACCACCCTGGTGTTTCCTTTTCGCTTCACGTGTGTGTTTCTCTACGTGTGCAGGTACAGCAGATCGCTAGTGGCCTCAACCTCGCGAGATCAGACCCCCCTTTCTGCACAGGTAGATTTTTACGTCTACAGTTTGGCACCCACCGTGGGACCTCTGGCAATCATTCGACGTGACGAACCTTGCTACGTGGAGGAATATTCCATGGCTGACAATCCGGACGACGTTAACTCAGGCCTCGAGGCCAGACTGGAGGCTTTGACAGCCCTCATGCAACAAAACTTGGACAAGGTGGCTGCACTGGAAGCTGAAAACACATCCATCAGGGTCGAGAACCAGTCGCTAAAGGAGAAAGTAAGCCGATTCTATGAACTCAAGTTTCTGCCCAACCAAGCACCCTCCAATCGGTTCCGCACCACTATCCCATCCATGCAACCCCTCTCCACACCAGAGCATCGACCCTCGGATTCTAGTAAAAGGCCGTGTCAGTTTAATGCACTAACGCTCGACTACTCTGTTCTGACTAACGGAGATAAAAATACAACAGTGCGCGGTCCAGTCGACCCATCCCAGCCTCATGATCAAAACGATCCAGCAATAGAGAACCCGCAGGATCAACCCATCCCCACCATACCAATTCACCTCCAGTCAACCCAAACACAAACCCCATCCGGCTCGGCTCACCCTCGCGGGTTGAACGGCCAAACCAAACCAACTCCAACACTTGAGCCCATCCACCCTGACGGACCGAACGACTACCAAACAACTCCCTTGACCATTTATGTAGGGAAGAACAATAGAACAGTGACAATGAGAGTCATCCAACCCGAAGGGATGAACGAAGACACATGCTACCAAGGAGCGCACGACGAACTGATTTATCAGAATACCCCCTGAGGGATGACCCAACGGAATGTACCAGACCCGGTAAGATGGGATGACCCGATAGTATCCCTTTCCCCTGTGGAACAATTACTGGCCAAGAGACTGGCCGACGTTGAGGCAGTAATGAGGCGCATCCCAGGAATGCCAATCCCAACCAAGAAGAGCATACCGAATTGCTACGCCGATTCACCCTTTGTGGATGAGATCGCCTTGGCTGACATGTCCCAGAAATTCATTATCCCCAACATGAGACCATATGATGGTACCACTGACCTGGATGACCACATAGCCTCATACAAGCAGCGAATGTTCACTGTTTCCATACCCCGACCGCTTAGAGAAGCCTGCATGTGTAAAAATTTCGGTTCTAGTTTGTCCGGCCCGGTGCTCCAATGGTACACAAACCTCCCGAACGGATCCATCGATTCATTCGCTCAGCTTACTAACACCTTTGTGGAACAGTTCGCCAGCAGCAAGAAGCTAGAGAAGTTGTCGGCCCACTTGTACCGAGTATACCAACGAAGGGGGGAACCATTAAGAGAGTATGTTAGCAGATTCAACAAAGAGAAGATCTCTATTCCCTCATGTAACCCCGAGACTGCTGTGGACGCTTTCAGAAAAGGCCTCCTCCCGGATGGAGAACTATACAAAGAACTTACAAAGCTAGGCTGCACCACAATGGAAGACGCTCTGGCCCTAGCCGTTATCCAGATAAGGTGGAAGGAAGATGAGATGAACCGAGCTGCCCATTCCAGATATGAACCAAGGCGGAGCGACAGGAAGCCAGAGCCTAGACCGGTAGAACACCGCTACCAACCTCTCGCACGCAATATGGGCAGAACCAAAAGACCATATGATCGCCAACCCTTGAGAAATGATAACAGGCATTTCGGATCGAACCAGTTCAAAATACCAGAGTACAGCCTCAACGTCGAACCAACCCAGGTCGTAGCGATAATGAAAGGAATGGGATCCGCAGTCTAGTGGCCTGGTAAGCTCAATCCTGAGGCAAGGAGAGACACAACCAAGTGGTGCGAGTTCCACAATGATCACGGGCACAACACCGCAGACTGTATCGCCTTGCAGCTCGAGGTTGCCGCATTTCTGAAGAGGGGACATCTCCGTGATCTACTCACTGACAAGGGGAAGAACACCATTAGCCAGAAAAGCTCCAAACAGCAGTCGCCCCCTCCGCGAGACACTGAAGGGTTTCTGCTCGCTAATCTCCGGAGGATCAGAAATCAGTGGGGTAAGTTACTCATCAGCGAAGCGGCATGCTAGAACAAACCATCATGAAGTCCAGTCCATCCACCCGGTCTCGAGGTCATACTCCCATCAAGTAATTCAGTTCGAGGATGACAAACCAGTCACCCTGGCTGCTCCTCACCACGATGCTTTAGTCATTTCCCTGCAAATAGCCAACATCCTAGTGAAAAGAGTGTTCGTAGACGGAGGTTCGTCAGCAAATATCCTATTCCTCGAAGCAGTAAAAGCAATGGGGTTGGAAGAAGCAAATATCAACAGGCGACCGACACTGCTAGTTGGATTCAGCTCGGAGCAGAAATACACTATCGGGGAGATCATCCTTCCTATCTATGCCGGCGGAGTAAACAAACAGACAGTCTTCCTGGTGATCGACTGCCCATCCCCCTACAACGTCATTTTGGGCCGTCTCTGGATCCACGACATACGGGCAGTCCCATCTACTTTCCACCAGACAATCAGGTTTCCAACCAAGTGGGGAGTACGAGAGATCAAGGGTGACCCTAAAGCTTCTAGGGACTACTACAAAAACGCCTTCAAAGGCAAGGGAAACTCTTCATAGCAATTACAGTCTCATCCAACCCCTCGAACAGAGCCTGACCAACCGACCATTGAGGAGTTGGATGAAGTGCAGATACATCCGGATGACCCGGAGAGGAAGACACACATAGGCTCCCGCCTCGAACCCGAGACAAGAGAGAAGCTGATAGAATTTCTCAAACGGAACGAAGACTGTTTCGCCTGGTCCCATGCCGACATGACCAGAATCAATCCAGACGCAATGGTCCACCAGCTCAAGGCAGATCCGGATCACCCGCCAGTCAAGCAGAAGAGGAGGAAATTCGCACCTGAACGAAACCGGATCGTCAATGAAGAGATTGAAAAGCTCCTAAACAACAGCATGATCAGAGAGGTCCACTACCCCGAATGGCTGGCAAACGTTGTAGTCGTAAAGAAAAAGAACGGGAAGTGGCGAGTCTACATCGACTTCACTGACTTGAACAAAGCCTGCCGCAAGGACTCTTTCCCCCTTCCACATATCGACATGATGGTAGACGCGACCGCAGGGCACGAACTCCTCAGTTTCATGGATGCCTTCTCGGGATACAACCAGATTCTGATGCATGCGGACGACCAGGAGAAGACAGCCTTCATCACAGAGAGGGGAACCTACTGTTACAAAGTGATGCCATTTGGAATGAAAAACAACGGAGCCACCTACCAAAGTCTGGTCAACAAAATGTTCTCTGACCACTTAGGGAAGACCATGGAAGTGTACATCGATGACATGCTCGTCAAATCCCTGATCGCCGAACAACACCTTGACCACCTTAGCCAGGCATTCGCCGTTCTCCGGAAGTACAACATGAAGCTGAACCCAGAAAAATGCTCATTCGACGTCTCATCAGGTAAATTCTTAGGCTATATGGTTACTCAGCGAGGGATAGAAGCAAACCCCGACCAGATCAGAGCGGTCCTCAGCATACCATCCCCGACTTGCATCAGAGATGTCCAGCGCCCTGCAGGACGAGTGACTGCCTTGAGCCGCTTCATCTCCAGGTCCGCTGATAAGTGCCATCTATTCTTCCATGCCCTCAAAAAATCCAACAAGTTCGATTGGACCCCCTCATGCGAAGAAGCCCTACAACAGCTGAAGAGGTATTTGACCACCCCCCGCTGCTTTCCAAACCCATGGACGGGGAGAAGCTATACACTTACCTAGTGGTCTCAGAGACAGCCATATCAGTGGTGCTAGTTCGGGAAGAAGAAACAAAGCAGTCACCGATCTATTACATCAGCAAGTCGCTCCTCGACGCAAAAACTCGATACAGCCAACTGGAAAAGCTTGCCCTCGCCCTCATCCATGCATCCAGGAAGCTCAGACCATATTTCCAGTGCCACCCTATAGTTGTGATCACCTCTTTCCCGCTTAAGAAAATATTGCACAAACCAGAACTATCAGGCCGACTCATACAATGGACGGTAGAGCTCAGCGAGTACGACGTATTCTACCAACCACGCACCGCCATCAAGTCCCAGGCACTGGCAGACTTCATTGCCGACTTCACACCAAGTGCCACCACCCAGGCCGAAAGAGAATTACTATGCATGAACGGCGCACCACCCTTAAAGTGGACCCTCCTAGTAGACGGATCGAGTAATATCAATGGAAGCAGACTCGGAATAGTATTGATCGCACCAGAGGGAGACATCATCCAGCGAGTAATCCGGTGTGGGTTCAAATGCACAAATAACAAGGCCGAATATGAAGCCCTCCTAGCTGGACTTTCCCTGGCCAGAGAAATTGGCGCCAAGAGACTAGAAGTGAAGTCGGACTCCCAACTCGTGGTCAATCAACTACAAGGTACGTATCAAGCACGTGATTCAAAAATGACATCCTATTTGAGCATGGTCAAAGAGCTACAGGCCGAATTCGAAGAGTTCTCAATAGTACAGATCCTCAGAGCTGAGAATAACCATGCCGACGCCCTCGCCAACCTTGGCTCAGCACTCCCATGTTCCTCCCAGTCATCCATTCCCCTCTTATTCATGCAATGGCCAGCCAACTAGAAGGAACCGCCACCAAACAAGTCTCTTGTAGAAGCCATGGGCGTTGAACAAGCCGATTGTTGGATGACCCCGATAATAAAGTACCTGGAAGACGATGAGCTCCTGGCTAGCAAGAACGAAGCATGCCGATTGAAAGCAAAAGCCGCCAGATTCACCCTACATGAGGGCCAACTCCTCAGAAAGTCGTTCTCGGGCCCCTACCTCAAATGCATAAGCCTAGAAGAGGCCCAAAGTGTTCTAGCCGAACTCCATGAAGGCGAATGTGGCAACCATGCAGGGGGCGCTGTCTGGCTCACCGGGTGATCACCGCGGGGTACTACTGGCCGACCATACGCACCAATTCGACCGCTTACGCAAAGAAATGCGACAGCTGTCAGAGGTTTGCTCACGTCTCACACCTCCCACCAGAATGAATCCATTCCATTCTCACACCGTGGCCATTCATGAAGTGGGGAATGGACATCGTGGGAAAGCTACCTACTGCACCGGGGCAACGAGTCTTCATGTTGGCTGTGACAGACTACTTCACCAAGTGGATCGAAGCCGAAGCCTTCGCTCAAGTCAGAGACCGAGAGGTAAAAGCTTTCATCTGGAAGAATGTGATCTGCAGGTTCGGAATACCAAATGAGATTGTCACCGATAATGGGTCCCAGTTCATTAGTTCAGGCTTCAGGGATTTCTGTGACATGTGGGGAATAAAGTTGAGCTTTTCAACCCCCTGTAACCCCCAGTCTAACGGCCAAGCCGAGTCATCAAACAAAACAATCATGCAGACACTGAAGAAGCGATTACAGAAAGCTAAGGGCGTATGGGCGGACGAGCTACCCGGAGTCCTCTGGTCATACCGAACCACGGCTTGATCATCAACCGGAGAAACACCTTTCTCCCTGACATACGGTTCCGAAGCAGTCATTCCAGCCGAAGTATCAGTTCCGTCCACCAGGCTCCAATGGGCGGACGAGAAATCAAATAGCCAAAACCTTTGCCAGAACCTAGACACTGTGGACGAGCTACGGGAACAGGCGAGCATCCGCAATACAGTCTACCAGCAACAGGCCGCCCGACATTATAACCGCAGCGTGAGGATCCGCACTTTTAAGATAGGCGACTGGGTCCTTCGTAAGGTCTTCCAAAACACCAAGGAGATTAACTCTAGCAAACTCGGCCCCACCTGGGAAAGCCCCTACAAGATAATCAAAGAAGCAGGGAAGGGCGCCTACAAACTCCAGACCCCCGAGGGCAAAGACATCAACAACAGTTGGAATGCCGTTCACCTCAAACGTTACTACTCATAGGTGAACCTTGTCCTTTTCGGGAATTTTGTTTTTTTTTCATTTCTTTTCATTATTAATAAAAGGATGAGTGGGCCTATCCACCTCCTCTTAGACAGTCGGCCTCATGGCCAGATATTTAATGAAGTATTATTAAGTAGTTCTCATCTTCAAATCGACCCCGGTCGACGAATTACTTACACCTTCAAATCGGCCCTGCCCGATGAACGTATGGACACTTTCAAATCGGCTCTGCCCGATGAACGTACGGATACCTTCAAATCGGCCCTGCCCGATATACGTACGAACACCTTCAAATCAGTCCCGCCCGATATACGTATGGACACCTTCAAATCGGCCTTGCCCGATGAACGTACGGACACCTTCAAATCAGCCCTGCCCGATATACGTACGGACACCTTCAAATCGGCCCTGCCCGATGAACGTACGGACACCTTCAAATCGGCCCTGCCCGATATACGTACGGACACCTTCAAATCAGCCCTGCCCGATGTACGTACGGACACCTTCAAATTGGCCCTGCCCGATGAACGTACGGACACCTTCAAATCGGCCCTGCCCGATAAAACGGACGGATACCTTCAAGTCGACCCGGTCGATGAATTACTCACACTCGAATCTACCCCGCTCGACTCTCGAGAACACCTTAAGATCGGCCCTGACCGATCCAAGACTTGGCACCTTAGGACCGGCCCCATCCAACCCAAAAACTGAACTAAAGATGCACCGCCATTCATCCAGGGGACTACACACTCGGTCGACCCGACCGAATGAATGATTCCTATACCGTTGTCAAGCAAAGCACCAACCCAGCCCAACATAAGGCCTACATGCCTTAAACATTAGGCCACGCTGAGGTAACACGCACAAAAATAAGGAAGACAAATAAAAGAACAGTTCATTCATCCAAGGAGACAACATGAGAAACCAGAACAATCAAAGGTAATATATATGGCGTCAAACGCCCCAGTTCAGAATACAGAAAACGGCACAGACGCCAGACAAAAGGGCATCGTAGGCCCCAAAATACAAAAAAGGAAATGGGGGAGAGCACTAAGCATCCTCAACACGAGTCTCATCCTCTACCACCAAATCAGTCGCCACGCAAGCACCACTAGTGCTCGGCCCCGCAGCCAGGTCGCTCACGTCCCCAACACCCGGCTGACTAAGCTTAGGCGCCTGCTCCTCGTCCTGTCCCACCGGATGACCAGTTTCTTCTTCCAACAACTCTTGCATGAGCAGAATGTCTTCATCCGGATCCCAATGAGAGGTCTGCCCTTCCTTAAACTCCAGCATGAGCTCGCCTCGGGCCTTAATGATGGCGTCATCAGCAATGGAGATGCACTGCTCCCTGAGGGACTCGACCTCCGCGGTCCTCTCGGCTAACTCGCGCCGTAACCTCTCGACCTAGGCCTCACTATCCTTGAGGCGCTGCTGACTCTCCTGTTCAGCCTTCCGGGATGCTGCCTCCCTCTGCCGCAAACCAGCATTGGCCTTAGATACATCCTGTATCCGCTTCTCCTGCGCCACGATAGACTTCCTTAGATGGAGACTGCTAGTGAGTACTTGCACAACAAAACTTAGCAATGAGAACAGAGTCGAAAACAAGAAAAATGAACAAATACTGCCATACCTGAACGGCGCGGGATACACCCCAATCAGCTACAGCAACCGCACCCATCTGGTTCAGGCGCGCCTCATCCGCCGGGAACAAGAAGGAGTTGGCCAGCTTACTCATAGATGTCGCGTCGGAATAAGTCGACGCAGTAGCCGGAATCGTGATGGTAATAGTCCTGGCCTCCTCATCCACAACGGCAGCCTGGGACGACCTGGCTCCCGCCGAAGGCTACTGACTTGGTGGCTGCCGACTGGGCAGCGTCTCCAATACGTTCTCAACCCTCGCATCCGCCCTAACCAACGACTCCTTCTTCCTCTTCTCTCGACGCCTGGAGATGGATTCGCTCGCGCTCGGGACAGTCAACTTCTTCATCAACGACTCTGCAAGTGCAAACTCTCCAACGGTTAGTGGGTTCAGCTCGGACTCACCAAAAATGATATGGTTGCAGTATCGACTCAGGAGCACATCCCAAGTCTGCTTCAGCGAGGGGAAGGGAGTACCTCTTTGAATAGCCTCTACTCTGGCCCAAAGAATACTGCTTCTCAGATTAGACTCTGCTAGCACTACTCGCCAATCCCTCTGCTCCAACGGGATGGCTAACACCCTCTAGGTAGCTACGTCCAAGCCGTCCTCGCTTTGCCCAGCACGATTGAAATCGAGCTCTGCAAACAAAAAACACAATCAAGATTTAGTAATCAAAAGTACGAAAGAAACGACGAAGTTCTCACCAGTGGCTCGCCAGCCGATCGGGATCTCGCCCGTGCCCCTGTCTCCGAAAACGACCTCACCCTTCAAGAAAAAGTAGCGGTCTTTCCAGTTTTTATCACTAGATTGCAGGTCGGTCACCAGATGAGACCGGTCGTGCCTCAAGTTTAGCAGATATCGGCCCTTCTCCTTATCATTCTCCTTCAGGAAGTACGAGTACAGCAGCTCGTGCAACCCGAACACAATTTGGTGCCGAACACACAGATCCTCCAGGGCCATCAGCAATCTCCAGGCATTCGGCATAAGTTGGGAAGGGGCGATAATAAAGTGATTCAGCACCTCCCAAACGAGGCGAGGCACAGGCAACCTCAACCCATCATGAAACCATTTCTTGTACACACAGACCCAACCTTCAGCTTCCCAATCAACCCGCTTGTACGACCGCGGGGTTCAGACTTTGACAGAACCAGGGATATGATACAGTGTACGGATACGCCACACGTCACTATCCTTCAGCATGGGCGGATAATCCCTGGTCAGAATCCCGCTGCCCTGCTGGCTCAGCTCTTCCTCAGAGCTACTACCGGATGAAGAGGGACTGTCAACCCCTCCGGAGTCTTCCCCACTCCTACCATACCGACCCGAGCCACTCGGCCCAGCTCCACTCGACCCTGGAGCAGCAACACTAACTGCGGTCGGCACGTCGACCGGAACGCTCCCCTCAGGCATCATCACCATAGTCGGGGCACGCTCATACTCGTCCCCGACATCCACCACATCTTGACTCGACTCTGCTGACGTATCGTCTGACATAGCGGATGACTCGCCCGTCCAAACCGACCGACTCGTTCCTTGTTATGGAACCGAACTACAAGAAACGATCAAGTGCCAACCTAGCTACCAGTCGTCCTTCAACACCGACCGACACCCGCGAAAGTCACTTTTCAACCTCAGTCGCCCTGCCTAACTGGCCGAATGAAGAGGCACGCTACTAGCTGACCTGTCCGATAACTAGACGTCACCCTACCCTTGGTCGACCCCTCCAACCGACCGACCGACCATAGAACCAGGTTCAGTAGAGTAGTTCACTCGCCCCAGACGACCGACCCACCTCCAAGCTCAAACCGAGTCACCTACTAACCTCGCTCACTTTCCCACGAACCTAAAAACTCCCACTCGCCCTGGATGACCGACCGTCCCTTTAGTCCGCTCCACGCCCCCTTCTCCACCCTATTCGGTCAGGCGGACCGACTGAACGACCTCTTACTAAACACGACTTGCTCTTCCCGATTTTATTAAAAAACCCAGAAAATGCTCGAAATTGTCGAATTCTTCCCGGATATCCATCGGAAAATTCAAATCTATACCTTTTCTCCGAGTTCTAACACAAAAACACTTGAAAACCCAGTGTAAACCCTCTCAAAAGTTCAAAAAAACCTTCATCCTACCTCCCAAAGTTTCAACCACCAAAAAACAAAAAAAAAAAACCCACAAACAGAACAACAAATCGGCCAAAAAAAGAAAAATGGTTACCTTGTTGCAGAAAAGACCACCGTCGCTCAAAGAAACTGAGAACAAAAAGAACAAAAGAAAACCAAAAAGGAGAGATTTTTCTTCTGATGAAAACACGAAACGAACGCGGATAGAAGATGAACAGTCTGCTCCCCAGATTTGTAAAGAAAATATAGACACGTGGCAGCTCGTGGTTGGCCAGTTGTCAGGGGGTCTCTTCGTTTTCCCGCTCTCGAAACGACGGATCGATCACCACCATACACGTGGCATCGATCCAGACCACCTGGGAAACCGTGGCCCTGTACGGATTCTGCATCTCGATCGCCCGACCCTTCCAGCCGACTCAGCTTGTACCTCCAGAAGTATAGTCGACGCGCATCCAACCTTCGCCCCAACAGCACACTTGGCCACTCAATCCGTTCGACCAACTCAGCTTTTCAGGTCAGGAGCCCTCCCAAGCATCCCATACTCAGCCAGCCCGGAAGGCCTGGTCGATCGACGCATGAGCTTGGAATAGCCCGGGTTAAGCCCTCTTCAGAACACCATCAAGCCTCGCCCATTCGTCCGTCCGTGGCGAATGAGTGGTCAACGTGTAGTTCGGTTACCGTACCTACCTGGTCGTCCCAACACCCCGACCGAATGAAGCTCCTTGGTGAACTTCCTGAACTCGTCCGTTCCGGCATGACGAATGACTGCCCCTTGCGCGGTTTCCTTGCTAGTCGTGCGGACGTACTGAGCGACCATACCTAGTTCTCTGCTCTTCGGCTCGTCGAACCGATCAGGCACATCACGATGGTGGCATGCTCTTGTTCAGGAGTCGATACCGAACGACGTCCAATCAAGGATCACCTGCAACGGTCAGAGCATTCATTTCAATGATCGTTCGTCCATGAGGGAAGACCGAGCTCACCTTGAGCGTAACCTACTCTCTGACTTGAGTTACTCTCAACTCAGAGAGTGGGGGACAAACTGTTAGGGCCAAAAATCGTCCTTGGCCCAAATAGGGAAACAGGACCACTAGTGAAGAATGACCAGGCCCAGTCTTGCAGAGGCCCAATTCGGATTAGTCCTATTTGATACGAGGTATAGCCGGCCCAAACCACATGGGCGCGAGCCTCTTAATCCCAGTCCACTTCCTGGGTCCATGGGCGAGTCAAGAGCCCATAGCCCCTTCAATATTTTCCCATTCTTGATCAATCCCCTATTCTAGGTCGCCTTCCCCTTTCCTGATGACTTTCACACTTGGGAGTTAATTCTCCTAATCAGAATTAACTTCCTATCCGGACACTGATAAGACAGTTGATTACGGCCCTGATTCTTCTAGGGTTGGCATCAGAGTCATACTAGGACTCCTACTCCCACCAGGATTGGGAGACCAGACGACCACTATATAAGCAGAGGCTAGCCCTCTCACAAAGGACATCGACATTACACCTTCACTCCCTAAGCTTTTGCTTGAGAGCTTCACTTCACCGCCGTAGTCACAGTCCCCGACTAGACTTCCGGTAACCTTTTATTCCCTAACCCTCACTATATTAGCCTTTCAGCCTTGCTGACTTGAGCATCGGAGTGCCTACGGCAAACACCACCCTGGTGTTTCCCGTTCGCTTCACGCGTGTGTTTCTCTACGTGTGCAGGTACAGCAGATCGCTAGTGGCCTTAACTTCACGGGATCAGACCTCCCATTCCGTACAGGTAGATTTTTACGTCTACAGGTTTCAAAGACAGTAAACTAATCAGGAAAGGAGATTCTGAGCCTTCAGATGTATCCCTAGGGGTTGCGAATGGAGTGAAAAATCTGGTATATTTGTTTTTCTTGATTTCCATTAATCTTATATTGATCTTGAGGTTGTGGTCTGTGATGATATTTTGTTACATCCTTCATAGTTTCTTTTGCTTTGACATTGAAATCTTGTTATGACATAAATATTAAATTGGAAAGCTTGTCTGAATATATATTCTTAAATTTCAATGATCTTGGGTGAATTTGTATGAAGGAGTTCCTAAAGAGCTGTGTAAAACAGTGAGTTACGATGCCAGTTTTATTATTTAGTGAAAGCTGTAACTTCGATGTGGATGATGCAGTTGAAAAATTAGAGAAGCCAGGGATTGTTTCCCAGGTGAGATTTTATTTTGTAGCAACATCCAGAATGAAGAAATATGATTTCCTCTGCCAAATTGACTTGACTTTAGTCCCTTTTGTTTTTGTGTTTCCTATACAGGATAATATTGGAAATTATACATGCGTAGATGTGAAGATGGCTAATGAGATAATTGGCACTACCACAGAGGAGGTAGTTCTCAAGGCTAAACAGGGTGATATTGAAACCACTTCATCCTAAACTTCTATTTTCCCCTGGTTGCCTTAGAAATGGTAATGTCTGTACCAGATGAATCTGTTATGACAAGAAATAGTTTGTTCATGTACAGAGGTATATTTGGTACGACTTGCTACTTTGCTAGTATATTGTATTGTATTAGATTGCATTATATTATATAGTATTATATAATAAAGGTTATAGTGTTTGGTTGTGCTTAATGTAGGCATTATATAAACGAATATAATAGTATTTAAGGTTAAAAGTAATGTATGCATTCACATCTTCAAAATCAAATAATCAATCAGGAGTTGTATGTGCAAAAGATACTGTACATTGTCAACTTAAAATTTACAGAGTTGGGAAAAGTAGTATAGATGAAGCTACCTATAGGAAGTAGGCCATCATTGATAGATCATGTCATTCTGTTTACCTTAAAATTTATCAGTTTTTTTTTTTATAGGACACATACATTAAAAGAAAAGAGAAGTAAAAAATGGATCAGATAGTCACCAAAGTAAATTTGGTAATGCTTATGCAGATGTTGATGGAATTGGGTGCATGATATGGGTTGGGGATTTGATTAATGTTCTGAATTTCGACGACGGTGGGAATACACTACACATCTGTCTTGCACATTCTGAATTTGGTAAACTTTTCATCTCTGTATAAGTTTGTTATTGTTAGTCTCTACTTCTATTTTCCATGGGAATCCCTCTAGTTTTTATTTAAGCATTGGTTTCTGATTAACCATAATATGATGAAAAACCTTGGCTATCCAACTTTGATCAGTAGAGATCTAGTTTTGTGTGCTAATAATAAAATGAGTTAGTGATGTGATCATCTGATTCCTTTTAGTTTCATCATTTAAAAAATAGGTGGCAGTAGCAGATTATCCAATGCTGCAATAAATATCAATTGCTATGGTTGGATCATTCTTCTTGGCTTTATCTTTATGGCTTTTGTGGAAATTCAGGTGAAACTGCAAGGTAAGATTATTATTTTCCACTGTCATTGTGCGAATAAAAGGTTCTTGTTAATGGTCTCTAAACTGTTTTTTCTTTTTTTCCAATTCTTCCCTTTTATGTCAATGTAGCTATGCACAAAAGTCTCATCATTATCATGTTGCAAGAGCAAGGGGGACGATATGTCAGTCATGGATGCGACCAAGAAAAGAATGAAGATTTCTCAACAGATCTTTCAGGACCTTCTGACATTCTTATGGATGTAACACAGAAATCTAGTTAGGCTAGTGGGCTGCTGCATTCAATGTTTTCCATTAATATTTACTCAATTGTTGGATGTCTCATTACACATTGATGAATGGTGATAATTGTTGGAAGGATAAATATTATGAAGCATTTCATTCTTACTATTCTATAATTTAATTTATAATAATAATAAAATTTCACTAATTTAAAAAAAAATAGTTAACTGTTAAGGATTTGATTCAAATTTTACTAAATCTTTGATAGTTATCGAACTGTTAAAGATCTGTCAAGAGGTTTTTGACAATTCGAAAACTGTTATGATCCTTTCTTAGCAATGGTTACAATGATAATTCAAAAACTGTCATTGTACCCCCTTCTTGACGGGGGATTCTCGTCAAGAAAGACATTTTTCCTTGTAATGTGGTTTCTGTATCTTGAATTAAATCACTTGAGAATTGAATGATTGACAGAAGTACCAAATCACTCATATAATTTTCTTTACAACTAAAGAATTAAAGAAAACCTTTCACCATTCAACCCCAAATTGTCAAATGGAGGAAACATGGATACAGTTAAAACTTTTAGAGGAGCAATGTAACTAGGAACGAAATCTAAAGTAGAACAATATAGATATATACAAGCAAAACGGCTCTCACCATCTGACTTAAACAGAAGGAGCACAAACCATAATTTTTATACGTCACGATATAATTTTATGTCTAAATGAATTTCTGAAGTTCTGTTCATAGATTATGATTAATGATTCAATTGAGAATATGCCAATAAGTATGAGCCAAAGTATAGGTTAATCAAGGTGATTTTTTTTTTTTTTTTTTTTTGTTTATCTGTTAATTATTGACATTGAGTTCATGGTTTTCAACATTAATTTCTGGTCTTTCTGTTTATTGTATCGTCATTTGGAATATACAAATGTTACATTAAAAATAAGTTAATTGAGTGAGCATAAATGCTGTGCCCAAATGGAGTTCGAGTTTGCAAATGGGCTTAATGAATTTTTGTTTTTTTTGTTTTTTGGATTAATGCCGTCATGAAAGGAAATAATTTTTTTATATATTCTATTAATTGCTTGCCTTTTCTTGGGTAAATGTGAAACTAGTATCATAGTATGCTGAATTTTAGTGTGATATCCCACATCGCTTAGAAAGTGTTGTGGCAGTCGGCAGAACTACAGAGTTATACTGTTTACAGTTTGGAATCTAAAGAAACAAAAATAAATTTGAAATTTGAAATTTGAAATCTGGAAAAAAAGAGCATGTAATTTCAAAAACGCTTCGAGATAAAATGAAAGGTCCAAAGGGCCTGAAGATAACAGCCCAAGAAATGAGGTGTAGTTGTGAGTAATTAATGGCATTGGAAAAGTATACAATGTTCAATGTTGGGCGTCAAGTGATCACAATGTGGACCAAACGAGTCCCACAATCGTTATCCAATGGGGTCCGAAGATTGTAGACCACTTAATTTTTTTCACTTATGCATTCGTACTTATAAGTCTCCCTCTCTCACCAACATTATATATTGTTATAGTTCTGCTGCCAATTCTCACTTATAAAAATCAATTTATGTATAATTATTTCTTGTAAATAAAAGTCTTGCCTGTAACATGAGTCAATTCTTTTTAGTAATAATTGATATTAGATCATTGCTTAATGATGGTAGCAGTGGTAGTAGTTAGGTGGTTAGAAATGGGGATGATGTGAAAGTTGAAAAAACGGATGTTATTAAAATAAATTTAAAAGTGTTATGCCTGGGAAAATAAGGGCTGACGTGGGAAAGTCACGTGAAGAGTGACCTGCTCCTGTCAGAGCAACAAGCATACCAACCCACGGATTTAATGATGATTACACGCTTCAGTTTGATATAAAATGAAGAAGACCCCTTCATTAAGGGGATTCGGCCATTTTTACACTGAGAAACTCTCTCTCTCTCTCTCTCTCTCTCTCTCCTGTAAACAACACATTTACTTTTTCTAAATCTTTTGTAAGTCAGTCGGCTGTTGCGACCTGACCCACACCAATATCAATACAAATCAGTGGACGTAGGACTTGCTACCTTAGCATCCGAACCACTTTAAAAACTCTCTTTGCATTTATTTCGCTTTCTATATTCATTATCACGTGTGTTTATTGGCCAATCAACGTTACGCACGTGACAATTCGTTGGTGCCAAAATCCAGCATCAACAGTTTGGCGCTAGAAGGAGGGCCCTGATTGAGTATCTACCATTCATCAGGAGAATCTTCGACCCATTGGTCCTTCAGCTACAAATGGCCCGCTAATCTGAACCCGAGCAGGTCAACCAGTGTGCTGAAGGAGTCCCCCTAGCCCAGAGGGACACCCCTTCCAACATACCTCCAGTTTCGCAAAACGCTGCTGGGGATATCCCGGCAGCTCTGCAACTCAACCCTGCCATCAGAAGCTACCTGGAGAGGTTCAATAATACTCTCCAGACGGTCAACCAGAGGCTAGACCGTTTGGACCAAAGCATGTCATCTACGACAGCTAGAGCGGTACAATCGCCAAAGACGCTTGCAGGTCGCGCGAAAGCGCGGCAAAGGGCGATAGCCCGTGCCGCAAGCACTGCAGCGCGTAGGCGCAAGGGTAAGCAAGTGGCAAAAAGTAAGCCTACGGGCTCCCAAGGACCAGCGAATACAAAAGGCGCCCTGAGCAGGGTGTCGGCAAAGCTGAGACTCGGTGAAAAAGTGAATCTCGAGCTGTCCCATGACACGTCGCAGGCAAACCCAAGTGAAAATGCTGGGCGAGATGATTCCTATCACCACCAACAGAACGATCCCGATCGTTATCATGCGGGTGGCCCCCACACCTCGCGGGGCGGTTCGTACCACCGCGAGGGTCGTGAAAATGCCCCGCACAATCTATCGCCTTCACACGCCTCTAGTCAGCGTGTGTCAAGTGCGGCCGGAAACGCCNAGAGAGATGGGTTAAAGCGAGAGATTTGGGAGATATGTGACTAAAGAGATATTGTTCTGTGTTGGTACGAAATCACATTGTGGGGGCTTTTATAGTTCACCCCACCCAACCACCCCCCCTCCCCCAACAATACAATACCCTTGTCCTTCATCTTAGATTCTTAATGGCTTTCAACTTATCTCGTACGCTTAATGAATACAAAAGGAAAGGCATCAATCTAATGATGCTTTAATTCAAGGCCATAGACATAAGTATACATATAAGCAAGTCATTTATTGACTTGGTAATGTTTTGATAAGTTCGTAAGAATGTGATCGAGAAAGCCATACAACAAGACACATTCATGGTCAACAAAGATTCTATATTAAAATAAAAAGATATAGAAGTCTACAAAATGGACAAAAAGGATAAGACATCCGCTTAAATCTACGGTTCAAGAAATTAACAAAATGAAAACACATCTCACACTCCAAAATCTTCAAAATCCAAAACCTAAATTGAATACAAAGTTAATAGACTAAAAATGTGTTTCTTGGTTGACGTTGGGTCAACTTTGATTAACCATGTCCTCTTTACAAATGCAATGAACTAAACTTGTTTACATAAGCTTAATTTTGGATGAAAGAGTCAAAACCCCAGCCTTTGTCAATGGCTGCAGCTCTTAGATCACTTTACGTTAATGTAGTTTTCAGTGTATCCTTGATATCTTTGGCGTTGGCTCAAGGAGAAAACTATTTCATCTTCCATGGCTTCTCTGATTCCAATTTAAGTTTGGATGGTGTCGCCCAGATCCAACCTAGTGGTTTATTGCAGCTGACCGATTTTGATTCCACCCTTAAAATGGCTCATGCTTTCTACCCTTTTCCTTTCAGATTCAATACATCTTCCTCTCAATCTCTTTCATTTTCAACAAATTTTGTATTTGCAATGGATTCTATGCGTTCTAATCCATTCTCTCTTGGCGGCCACGGTATGGCTTTTGTCCTCTCACCTTCCATGGACTTTAGTAAAGCTGTTGCAGGTGCATATTTAGGACTCTTCAACTATTCAAACAATGGCCTGTCTACAAATCATATCTTGTCGGTTGAGCTCGATTGTGTTCAAACCCCTGAATTTTATGATATAGAAGAAAACCATGTTGGAATTGACATCAACGGCCTCATATCTAATCAATCTGCTCCGGCAACTTACTTCTCCGATGAAGAAGGGATTAACAAAAGCTTGAGTCTACGAGATAGAGATCTAATACAAATTTGGATAGACTACAATGCAGAAGAAATGTTACTCAATGTAACACTAGCTCCGATCAAAGTTCCAAAACCAAGCAAGCCTCTCTTGTCAAAACCCCTCGATCTTTCTCAAATTCTCTTAGATTCTATGTATGTTGGCTTCTCNGGCTTGGGCAGTCCCTATTCCGGGCCCTTAAGGACTAGTGAGGGATTGGGTCCAAATTGGTTGGAATCAGTCCTAGGCCTGTAACTTTTTTGAGGATTCAGATTGGTCTTAGGCCCGGGCCTGGCCTCTATGGACCGGTCCTAGTGGGTCTGGTAAATATCTATTTAGCTTCCTTAATTTTTTTTATATTTTAATAATAATTATGTAAGGGGGTTTTTTGTAATTGGCTAGGATGATTTGTAAATTTTTAATTAATTAGCAAATAATATAGATGGATGTTTATAAATTTATTGTGGTTTTAATTTAAAGAGATAATTTAATTTTAGTTTCACAATGTTACAAATTAATTAGTAAATAATTTAAAGAGATAATTAATTAGTAAATAAATGTAAATGAATGGTTATAAATTTATAAATTTAATAGGGATGATTTGTAAATTTTTAATTAATTAGTAATGGTTATGGCTGCGTTTGGCCCCCTATCCTATAAAAAATACTTATTTGTTTCCCTATTCTCAAACTCTAATTTTATTCTATTCAACCATTTTAAACCCCATAGATTTGTTAATTTAACTAAACACCCCAACAAAAAAAGTTTATAAATTGACAAAGACACCCCCACCCGCCCACATTTGCCAAATTTGGGCCACCACCGCTGAAAGATAGTCGGAATCTGCCATAATGGCGCACTACTGGCTAGATCTGGTTAGTTAGCCTTTTCCGACAAGATCCACCGTAGATTTGGCTGGAAAAGGCTAGATCTAGCCTTTTCCAGCCAGATCTTTGACCACATCTGATCGTCAATGACATCTAAGATATGATCGTTGTTGATGAGTAAATATGGCCAGATCCATTGTGGATTTGGCTGGAAAAGGTCATATCGGGACACGACCGGCTAGATCCAACTGGTTGTACGCCATTACAGAAAATTCCAGCCACCTTTTGCGGTGGTGACTGAAATCTTGCAAATCTGGGTGGGTGGAGTTTTTGTTCAATTTGTAAACTTTTTATTATGGGGGGGTTTAGCTAAGTGCACAAACCTAGGGGGTGTTTTGTAATTTTTAAATCTTACCTCGTAATAACAACCCAGCTCAACTTTTTCAAAATATTACTCAAAATAATAAAACAAATACAGCCTATAATTTTTTTTATTTTTTGAAAATTACATTTTAATCCCTAAATTTATTATGTATTTCATATATTATAGGGGTGGTTATTTGTCAGGAAGTTTTGGGTATTTGGTAAAGGGTATTCTGAAATTAACCGAGCCCAAGCCTGGGACCGAAGGGCCTGGTCACCCCTCCCTAGGGCCTGGGTCGGTCCTACGACTAGTCTTACAAGGACCGGTCCTTAGGCACAGGCTAGCGTGTGGGTCTTGTGAGAAACAAGGTTTTGAAACCCGACCCAGGTGTCACCCAGCCAAGCAGTAGGTGCCTAGCTTGATCGGTCCGACCAATTAAACCAGCGTTTTGATAGGTGATCTTGAAAGTTTGAAATCTTGCAAACACACCTTTGATAAATACGAATTACTCCTTACAGGTTTGAAATCTAGCAAACACACTTATATTTAGTTTAGGGAATGTTGTATTACTGGGAATGTTATATTAATGGAAAGATGAATTAGCTTGAAGATTACTGAGAATGTTTAGGGAAATGTGTTTGGTTGGTTGGAATTAGAGGTGGAAAAGTGGGCCGACCCAACCTGACTTGCAATGACCTACCCAATTACAGGTCGGGTTAGGCCCGCCTCTTTTTCAAAAGGGCCAGCCCAGCCTAGCCCGGTAACCCTTACTCGGTGGGTTTTCGTGTGGGCCAGCCCACAAAAAAAAAAAAAAAAAAATTTAATTTTTATTTTTTAATGCTTCTGTCTTTTGTGTAATTTTTTTTAGTTAACTTTTCAAATATCAATTAAATTAAATTAATCTTTTCTAGTTAACATTTCAAATATTAATTCAATTTTAATACAATTAAATTTTAATATAAGAAAATTTTGATTTATTCATTTATCAAAAAATAAAATAAGAAATAAGAAATTACAACAATTATTGCTTAGTTAAAAACCGTACCAAGAAAAACTTAATTGGTACAAAACCTTGGTAAAGAAAACATAGGACAGTTAATTTACAAATTACAAAGTTACAATTTACAAAACAACTAATTTGAGGATTGACTAGGACCTCCCTCGTATGTATCATCTAAATTACAAAATTGAAATAATTCTATTAAAATATTATTGACAACCTCGTACTGATCCTGATGGTGCGACCATTCCCAATCTCGAAGATATATGAGGATTTCAATCAGTTTTGGTGAAAGTTTAGTCTTCCTTTCGTTTAAAATTCTTCTACTTATACTAAATGTTTGTTTGGATGAGACGGTAGAGACAGAAACAGAGAAAATATCCAGGACAAGTTTTGATAGTACCGAAAAAATAAATTACTCTTTCGATGAACATACAACTCATAAAAAGACAAATCCGTATGAAATTTGTGACATAAATTGTAGAAAATGGGATTATATATTGGTATTGTGGAAAAAAATGATTTTGATAGATTTTATTTTATTTTAAAATGAAAGAAAAGAATATAAAAAATGTTGGAAAAAATATGGGTGAAGGCTATGATTTAAATGTATTCAATTGACCTGAAACAGAAAAGAAAAGTTTTCCAAATTCTAGTACGAAAAGTTTGATTAGGAGAAATATAATCTTTCTGTATAATATTTTTTTATTTGTAAGAGTATTATTGTCAAATTAAATTAAAAAAGAAGAAGGAAATAATGGGGATTGAAAAGACATTTCGTGGATTACTCTTTATTTAACCATCCTTGGATGGCCACGTGATTGGCTATAGACTCTTGAGTGTATTATTCAAGAGGTCTTGGTTTGAAGTGCCTCAGTTGCTAATAAAGATGACACCTAGAGGGTATACTCAATCATTAACTTCAAGGTCTCGGGCCAGAGAGATTAGTTGAGGTACGCGTAAGCTGGTCCAGACCCCAAGTCATCAAAAAAAAAAAAAAAAAACATAATATATACAACTTAATTAGTTTTCGTTAACTTTGAGCTCTGAGAGATTTGTCAAGGTACCGCAAGTTAGTTTGGACACTCTCAATCATAAAAAAAAAAAAAAAAAAAAATATATATATATATATTATATATATATATTTATATATATATAAAACTTAATTAATTGTCCTTAACTTCAAGGCATCGAGCCTCAAAGATTAATAAAAATTAGTTAAAGTATACGTAAATTGGTCTGAATAACCTCGGTAACAAAAAAAATAAATAAATAAATAAAACATCTATATAACTTAGTTGATCCTGGTCTTCGTCTCTTCGACATTATATTATTTTATAAAGATGGAGAACAAAAATATAATGAGAAAATTCGTATAAATATTCAAACTTGTCTTGATCTTTAGTTTGACATTTGACGTTGAAAAGAAAATTTAAACTTATGCATTTGCATGCGTGATCTTTTCAACATCAAATTCGTCTTCTCCGAGTGATGAGGCAGTTACGATCAAAATAAAAGTTGAGAGAAAAAAAAAAAAAAAAATCCTTCACATCCATTCAGCAGGAATTCTGCTTCTGCCTGAGCCAATGGGTAGAGGCCAGAAAGCCTCCGAATTTTTTGAAAGAGCCCCGGGTTGAGATCCCGGCGGCGGATCCTCCAAGTCAAAATACGCAACATCTTCTGTGGGAAGATAGAAATCAAAATCAACTCCGCGCAAATCCATATACATCAAGTAACCACAATCCCCTTTACACGTAGGAAATTCTTTCGCTGAAAGCATGAACGAACCATCTTCACCTAAAAACAACACTTGATCTTTCAATCTATCGTCTTCAATCCATTCGCAGTTCTTTTTGTCAAGCTTGAAAACATCCAAACGATTCCGACCCAAGAGAGGACCATGTTGGTAGTATTTGTATAACCAATACGTGTTGATCAGAAACAGATCATCCCTTGATTTTACCAGAGAGTGCCTTATAAGATGTGAATGGGATTTTCCAGGAGCCACGGCAGCTTCAGTGACGTTTAGAGACTTGGGATCCACTGCCACAGTAACGCCGTCGAATCCCATAGCGTAGAGTTTCTTCTTGTGATAAATGATATCTTTACAGTAAAAACTTTCATAGCCAAAATCTTTGATCGCCCATCTCTCGTCTTTGCTTCGCCACACGCCCACTCGGCCTTCACTAATTAACGCCATTAGTACGAATTCACCAGCTTTATCATCATCGGAAGAGACGACAACCTTTTCAACGTAAAAAGGATTATAATTTGATACCATGTCGAGTCGAAAGGATTTAGCAATTTCCTTGACGCGATAATCCAGCAAGTTGAAAGACTCGGGCAACATCTCGGAAGAGTTTTTGATACGAAGTTTAAACAGGGGATCCATGACCTGGATTTTGCCAGAGTTTGACTCTTCTACTTTGAACAACCAGGTTTCAATGGATTTGTCCAGGGGTTGAATGGCGTAAACAGTTGATTCAGTGAGTTCAAGGTGGCCGTCGTCTTTCACGCCCGGCGGGAAGGGAATCTTGAAATGCGAGAGCGGCGGGAGTGGAGGAGGGACTGAGGAACGAAATGAGTTACCAACAGCCCGGAAACAGAGGGTTTCGATCCGTGTATTGAGGAATTCTGCGATTGTAGCGAGTAGATGTTCAGGGAGATTGTCCATGGCAATGGCAATGGCAATTGAATTAGCAAGTTTTGATGATAAGAGGAAGAAGAAAGTAGGAAATTCTAATTGAATCCTATATTCCTTAAAAGTTGACAAACTTTAACATCACAACTTCACAATACGAAAGATAAACCTGATCCTCGTGAAAGCCAACTGAAGAAGATTAAAGAAAAGGAGAAAGATACGTTTAACTAGTCAAAAAGTCTATGCAACCCATTTGATTGAAAAAAATCCGCACTTGACATTTAATTAATCAATAGAATGACGGGGAGAACGACATTTTCCCACCCAAGGTTTGGCAAAACGACACTTTTCCACCCGTTAAGTTTTAAAACGATACCTTCCCACCTGTTGATGTGTGATTTTGACACCAACGAAACGTATGTGTGAAATCTTGAGTTGACCCAAAAGACACACGTGAATGGAAAGGAAAAATGACAGTAAATGCAGTGAGAAAGGAGTTTCAAAGTGGTTCGGATGCTAAGGAAGCAAGTCCTACGTCCACTGATGTTTTTATTAATGATAAGGGTCAGGTCATTTTAGACGACTGACTTTACACTGAGAATACAAGGTATCAAATGCTGTATATTCTAGAGAGAGAGAGGTTGGTCAAGAGTAAATGTGCGAATCCCCTTAATGAGAGAGGAGCTCTCAACTTATAGTGGGATAAATTGAGGTAATGATCACTGAATCTATAAGTTGGTGGGATGATCCGTGCAAATCCTTCTTTATGCACATTATCCATCTTCTAGAGTAATTCACGTGATTTGCTGCAGGGATTGGACACGTGGGATCATCACAGCTCCTGGCTGGCCTAACGTGCACCCACTATTCTGACGGAAGCAGGCTGTGGGTGTAACCATGATCACACGACGTAGCTATGCCAGAACGTCAGTAAACTCTTCCCGAGGTCTGACCTTTCGCACTTAACTGGGCGCCACATCAGCCCTATTCTCCCAAGCATAACAGAAGTCCCCTAGTTTTTAAGGTTTGAGAATTGAACCTTGGAAACTACAACTCATGCCGCAATTGGATGATTCCTGGAAATTCTGGTGATTCCGACCTGTTTGAAAGTAGGTCGGGACAACACTTTTTTGCGAACACGACCTTGCATGATCATTCTTCGCAAAGGACGAGCGACCTGATTTCGTCAGACGTCACCTGTTGTGTTTTTGATATGGGCGCATTTAATGAAACAGTCTCTGCGCTGACAGATGTGCCTTGTGCGTGATAAGTGCCAGCTAGATGCATTAAATGCGTTGTACGCTGACATAGTACGCCTTATCAGGACATTAAATGCGTTATACGTTGGAACGACACCCCTTATCAGGGCATTAAATGTAGATTTGAGACGCAATTAATGCTCTGAGAAAGAGAGATGGCTATCGTTTGAGCTTTTCAACGGGAAAGATGAAGGTTTGACTTTATCCAATCGTGACGCTCACTCTTCCTCGCTGATGCGCGACACGTGGTCGTGACCAACGGTGAGAAACCTTTGCCTCCCAAACGCTGTTTCGATTCCAAGAAATCCAAACGTCGATTCATACGCTATAAAAACCTCGAGTCTTTCTCAGGCAATGTCACCAGAGTCTTTTTCACAGAGAGTAAAAGATTTTCGCAAACCTGGAACCTTTGCCTTCCAAACCAGCATTTTTCCAGTATTCGAAGCGAAAGCTATTCTCATACTCTGAGAGGTAAGAGTTTCTCTCTGTCTTTGTTTCATTATTTTCCATGGTTAAATGGCGTCTGTCTTCCGGTAGCCCATCGGAGACGAGATGCTTAGGTCGGGTTCAAGCCATGAATGGCGGCTCGAATCATGCTGTTAGGGTTTCCTTTGGGATTTAGGGAGTTTGTTTCCTCCCACATCATCGTATCAAATAGCGTACGGCGGCTAGATGACCTTTCTGCTTGTTGCTTTTGCAGACCAGCAAAAATGACCCCTCAACAACCAGATCCGAACAGGGAACTGGTTCGTCCCCACAGGGTGATCCAAGCATCCCTATCGAGGTCTTCTCAGTGCTTACCGGGGATGAGCTCGAGAGGGTAATAAAACAGTATGGTATCGAGGTGGATGCTTTCCTCAACGTGGCACACTCATCGTAATACCCGCTAAGTGGTCTGGCCGCAGTCTCCGAGGAGATCATCAAGGGTGGGGGACTGATCCTCTTCCACCCTTTCATTAGGTCGCTTTTGGACCACTTCGGGGTCACACCGATGCAGCTGACTCCGAACGCATACATCATTGTCGTTACAATGTACATCGCGTGCCACGAGAACGGGGTGGACGAGCTGACCGCGACAGAGGTCGGCTACTCGTATTTTTTGAAAAAGAGTAAGGACAAGGATTCTTATTACTTGTCCAGGCGACCTACTATCGCCGAGGGAATACACAGTTACCCGAGCAACGCGAGGGCCTATAAAACAAAGTTTTTCTTCTTTCATTATGACGGCCATTGCCGCTTCCAAGAACCGAGTAAGCCTTTTTTTTTTTTTTTTTTGACAAATTCATTACATTCGAAATGTGCTCTTTCTAACGACCTGATTCCTTTCTGACAGTTAACAAGACGACCGACTTAGGGCTGTTCTTCGATAGAAGTAGGATCGTGCATTTCAGCTCCCTACCCGAGGACAAGCGTGACGCGAAGAAACTCATGACGACCGCAAATTTACGAAAATATGGTTTCTTCAACACAAACGCGTCGTTAGAGCCCCCATTGAGTAAGTCCTGCTAACTGGTCCTTTTCTGGTCGTGAAATGAGATATATTTGCTAACGATACTTTGCATGCAGTGACCATGCCTCCGAAAGAGTCAGAGCAGCCGCGACGAAGGCCACTCAATTTCCCTCAGTCAAGAAAAGCCAAGGCGACCGATGCTGCTCCGATCGTTCCCCCGGTTGAAGGCGCAACATTGCGCCCATCGTCGCAACCTTCCAAAACTTCCCAGCCACGACCGTCAGAGGACGCGCCAATACGAACCATGAAGGTCTCCCAGCCGTCACCTACTCGCCCGAGGCTGAAGACAAAGGCCCAGCGAAAGAAGAGGAGACAAATTCAGGTCGAAGAGTCAAAGATCGAATCTGAGGGTGATCAACCCAAGAAGTCGCAGCCGGATGCGAGGAGGTCAGATAAGGAACCGATGGACGACACGACCACTGCTGAAGGTGAGAAGAAGGATACTCCAGTGTTGGACTCGCTGAGGAACCTACCGGAGTACCTGCAGCCGATGGTCTATGCCTTATTGGAATGCAGACTCTCGGAATCATTCGAGCAGTTCGCAGATTCCAGCGACGTGGACCTAATGTCCACATCGGTCCAACACTTAAGCAAGGTGAACGAACTGTCCTCGGCGAGGACTACCCTTAGCTTCTTTTGATTAGCTAACTCTATCTTTCTTTGTTTGCATGCTCTTCTTTTCATGCGAATATCCTTGGAGAAGGTTCAACTGGGAGCCGCAAAAGGAGATGTTGCTATGAAGGAAGAGAATGCAACGCTCAAGCGAAGCCTGGAAGCTGTCGAAAAAGAGAGAAACCTGTCTTCTGAGTCGGCGAATCGGTACCTGAATGAAAGAGACGTGGCTCTTCGTACGGTGGACTTCCAAAAAGCGCAGCTTGAGAAGCATGGAAAGGAAATAAAGGAGCTACAAAGGACCATAGACAGACTCTCCAAGGAGGCTGGGGAGAAGGACCAAAAGCTCAAAGTGACCTCTCTGCAGGCCTTGCGAACAGAACAAGAGAGAGATGCCTCCGAGAAGCGAAGGCAAGCTCTCGAAGTTGAACTTCAGGCAAGTCAAGGAAAAGTTGCTTCCTTGACACAAGAGATGCAGAATCAGGCAGCAGAGGTCGAGGAGAAGGATGTCAAATGGGCGATCGAGTCTATTTATGCCTTGCAACCGAAGAATCCGCGACTTGATATGTTCGACCTCCCAGAAGACAGGTGAGATACACTTATGTCCATGGCACGGGAGGATGATGAAGCGGTGGCCTCCCAAGCAGGAGGTTTGGGACACGCCTCGGATAAACTCTCAGCCGACCAGCCATAGGACGACGAGGTCAGCCCTCTAGGAGCCGGATTAGGGCTTGTAGTCATGCCATTTTGCTTGTTGTACTCCACATTAATGAAATACATTTTTGCTTTTACAATTTCTGTTCGCTTTATTATACATGAGTACTTCTTGATTGCTTACATTTACTGGAACAAGTGTGATAATATAACATATTCACAAGAACAAGATTACATGCGAAGATTGTTACAAGCGCACAAAATGACACTTTACAAGGAAATTATTTACACAAATAGCAAGTTAATTTACAAGGAATACTGAGTTCGAAAGAGATCACGCGGTGGTGTGATTATCGCAGATCCCTTCATGTATCTCCCTCATGATGTAATCTGCTTCTTCGCTGGTTACACATCGGAGGAGAGGGGCACTAAACCCTCGCCTGTACAGTTGGTCTCCGATGAGGGTGTAGCGAGCAAATCTTGTTCGTAGAACCCTTGCCTCGACCTTATCGTCAGGCAAGATCCCATCCTTGAGATACCGAGTAATGGGAGGGTCATCCATGAGTCTAAACCCGTTACATTCACAACCTGTTCGATTGGGCTGATACTGGGGATTTCGATGAATCGAACAGGAATGTTCTCCAGTGCATCCGAGTCTAATGATGAGGCTATCCTTGCCAAGGCGTCTGCCACAGAATTATTTTATATGGGAATCTGAGTGATCGTGAAGTGCTTGAACGGCTTGAGTGCGGCCTTAGCTTTCTTTAGATAATTGATCATGTTATCTTCCTTGGCTTGATACTCTCCCAAAATCTGGTTAACGACTAGCATGGAGTCACTGTGGACACTGATCGCGGTTGCACCCATTTCCCTTGCCAACCTGAGTCCAGCGAGCAGAGCTTCATACTCGGCCTCATTATTAGTTGCTTTGAAACCGAACCGGAGAATGCCATGAATGCGGGCCCCTTCAAGACTCAACAAGAGAAGGCCCGCTCCGACCCTCTTTCTGTTCGATGATCCATCGACGTAGAGGGTCCAGGTCGAGAGATTTTGAATAGTTTCCTGGATGACTTCGTTGGGCTGTTCCGACTCGTTCGCTGGATGATGCGAGAACTCTGATATGAAGTTGGCAACAGCCTGCCCTTTAATAGTTGCTCTTGGTTTGTAATGGAGATCAAACTGGTTGAGTTCCATGGCCCATTTGAGCAATTTTCCTGACGCCTTTGGTTTTTGGAGGACCTGCTTGAACGGGTAATTAGTCAATACATGAACTGTATGGGCATGGAAGTAAGGTCGCAACTTTCGGGAAGCGATCAGTAGGGCATAGGCTAATCGCTCCATTTCCGGATACCGCATCTTGGCATCCAACAGATGCTTGCTCATGTAATATACTGGCCATTGCGTTCTATTCTCTTCCCGAACTAGAGCTACACTGACTGTGAACTGCGAGACGGACAGGTACAAAAGGAGGATCACTTTTGGGAGAGGTTTGGACATAAGTGGTGGCTTCCAGAGGTGTTCCTTTATTCTTTGGAAGGTCTGTTTGCACTCGGGAGTCCATTCGAACTTCTTATTGGCCCTGAGTACATTAAAGAATGGCAAGCAGCGATTTGTTAGCCTCGATATGAAGCGATTTAGCGCTGCTATATGCCCGTTCAGGCTCATAACCTGTTTTTTGTTGGTCGGGCTCTTCATATCGAGGAGAGCTTGGATTTTTTCGGGGTTGATCTCAATTCCCCGCTGGTTAACCATGTACCCTAGGAACTTTCCCGAGGATACTCCGAATGAACATTTGAGGGGGTTCAACTTCATTCGGTACTGCCAGAGGATGCCGAACATCTCAGCGAGATGTGCTACGTGATCTGAAGCGACATGCGACTTCACCAGCATGTCGTCTACGTAGACCTCTATCGATCTGCCTATCTATTCGGAGAACATCCGGTTAACCAGTTGCTGGTAAGTTACAGCAGCGTTCTTGAGGCCGAAGGGCATAGCTTTGTAGCAGTACAGTCCCCGATCTGTAATAAAAGATGTATTCTCTTCGTCTAGCCTGTACATCAGAATTTGATTATATCCCGAGTACGCGTCCATAAAACTTAGCAGCTCATGCCCTGAGGTGGCATCCACGAGCTGGTCGATCCTTGGCAGGGGAAAACTGTCTTTCGGACATGCCTTGTTAAGGTCGGTGAAGTCGACGTAGGTCTGTCATTTGCCGTTAGGCTTCTTTACTAGAACTGGGTTGGCAACCCAGGTAGGATAGAGTGCTTCTCGGATGGATCCATTTCGGAGGAGGTTATCCATCTCAAGCTTCAAGGCAGCATATCGCTCCGGGTCCATCGCTCTTCTCTTTTGGCGAACTGACTTGGCTTCACTGTCGATGTTTAATGTATGACAAATAATATTCGGGCTGATCCCGACCATATCTGCGTGTGACCATGCGAACACATCGATGTTTTTCCTGAGGAAGCTGGTCAGTTCGGTAGCGAGCTGGGGATTGAGATTTTTAGCCATCCTTAACACCCTGCTTGGTTCGTTCTGGTCGACCAGTACTTCAGTCAGGTCCTCAACTGGCCCACTGGAAGGGTAGTCCTGAATGCGAGGATCTATATTATCCTCGGCTAGGCCAGGCTGTGGCTCGATCTGACTAATCGTCATTGTCTATTTATGATCTTCGCGTGAGGTGCCTTTGCCTTTGCACGCCATCTGCACTGCTTTCACATAGTAGTCCCGAGAT